AGGTGGAGGGAGCAGAGCAGGAAACAAGGAGTGGGTGGGACCTCCAATGTCAGCAGGGAGAGCTCCTGGGACACCTCACAGCCATAGAAGAGTCTGGCTGGGACTACAGAATGGTTCTTGGAGATGGGCTTTGTCCATAAAGGAAAATGGAAAAACAAAAAAGATAGCGAAGGTGGTCGTGTGTTAGGCGTTCCTGTAATGGTGGGACCTGAAAAGTCTAATGGAGGAGGAGAGAATGGGGGTTGGGGTGGCGGGGGAGGGGAAGAATGCTAGGGTTGAAGGGATGGTAGTGTATTTATCCAAGTAACTCGGCTGTTTCATAAAAACAACAATCATGTTGCACAATTATAACGTGTCAAGCTCTGTCCTAACGACTTTACAGGAATGATCTCATTTGGTCTTCACAACAACCTGAATTGGTGCTATTTTCACTTTATGGATGAGAGAACCAAAGCACTGAGAGGTTACCAGACACTAAACAACTCATAATTGCCAATGCCAGAGCCAGAGCCAGAACCAGGCTGTGCAGCTCCAGAATCTATGGTCCTAACCACCAAGCCATCTTACCTCTGCAGATAATTGTTTTCTGTGCACACCCTGTCCTCACTCCACCCCAACCAGAACTAGATACTCAGCTCCTCTCCTGAGATCCTCTAAAGCACCTATTAGCCCACAGCTTCAGTAAATAGTATGTGGGAAGGGCTACCCTCTCTATATTCTGAGCTATTTTTCTCCTCCCTCTCCCCAGGCAGGTGGGGAAGCAAAGACAGGGGAGCCAAATGGAGAGAGAGTACTAAATCATAGCATAGCTAGCTCAACTGTACAGTAATTATTCAACAAAGGATAGCTCAACAAATACTGAGCTAATGCATGCAGGGTCTAGTGCTAGCTAGTGGGGATATGGCAATGAACATGTCTGCCCTGGGGGTGTGTTTTGGGAATTCCTGGTAGGCAGACTTTGGTTGTCACCATGATATGGGTGCTTGGACATTGCATGCGCACAGGCCTGAGGTGGGTGTGAGGAGGATAGCCCACACCACCAAGACTTGTACAGAATGGCACTCCAGGATGGTCAAAGGAGGCCTCCCAAAATGTTTCCTAACAGGAAGCACGGGCTTGGAGGGTTGGAAAGTACTGTTTAGTTAGCTTGGGCCTGTCCCCCAGGAAGTACCCGTCCGTGAAGGTGCTGAGGGACAGGAAGGTAAGGGGAGGAGAGGGATGGCATGGCAAATGAAATGTTGCCATCTTGGCCTCAGTTTGGTCTTAGGGGATCACAGTAGGACCTTCTCCAGGTGAACATCTCCATGAGTTCAGTCACATGGGGTGACTGAAGACACCCCATCTCTTATCAGTGACTATGACTTAATACCTTCTGAGGCATAGTGCTTGGGATCTGATAGTTACTATACTCTCGAAATAAAGCAAAATAAACCCCAGATATAAACAGGAAATGATTCTTCATCTGGTGACCTCTGGGAGAGTTGGCAGGGGGAAGTGGAGAGGTGTGTGTAAGTTATTGGGCAGATCCTGGTTCTTTGGGGGTTTCTTGGGTATTTACTGGTTTACTAAGAACTAAGTTAGAACTTCTGCTCCCAGCTATAGTGAAATGACTTGTATTCCACCTGTTCCCCTTGAGAACAAGCAGAAAAACTGGATGATGGTTTTTGTTCTTGTTTTTAAATAAGTTTGAAGGCCCAGGAAAGCAAATTCCCTTTGAGGTCATCACCTTATCAAATACTGTCATCCAAGATAGAAGAGCAAGAGTTGATGGGATACAAAATTAAAATAAGCCAGCTCTAGATTTATAATGCATATCAAACAAATAATTAAACAATTGGAACACTATAAAAAATAATATTAAAACAATTAATTGCTGTATTCTGGGGTGGGGAAGTTCGTTTTATTTGGAAGTAAGCAACAAAAGTTTGTTTTAGGTTTTTTTGTTCAAAGAAAATAACAAAGTGTAAACCTGTCCACGAAAAAGAACAGGAGATCTACAATTTTTAAATATTAATTTTAAAAACCACCAGCCAGCACCTGGAACAGACATTTAGGGCCCCCCAGATGGAGACGTCAAGGAGACAGAGCTAGGGGCAAAGAAAGAAGGAGCAGGAAGGTGGGGCCAAAAGATGGAGGAGCAGAATCTTATCTTCTCCCCCTTGGGGCACTTAACAGTTCAGGGACCAGTTTGCATATAATTGGTCTTATGAGCACTACTCACAAGCTGTGTGACCCAGTGGCAAGTTAGCTAAGCTGCTCTGGGCCTCAGATTCCCCACCAGTAAAATGGGAATAACAGTGGTGTCTACCTCCTGGGTGCATCTGTGAATATGAAATAATTTAATAAATATAAGGCACTTAGAGAAAGCTCAGAAAACATGAAATCAAACTAGACATTAACCCCTCCTTCATTCCTTCAGCAAACATTTATTGTCTAGTTTGATACTGGAGGTTTGCTTGGTACAGGAAGAGCTCAGTGAGCAGTGTTCAAATGATATGAATGCCATGGCCTTCTAAGGAAAGGCAAGGGCTTGCCCTGATGAGCTGGTTGGAAGGTACTCTGGTGCTGGATGTATGAAATTACCTGATGATTTGGCCACACCGTAAGCTGAGTTGTGTGGGATGGGGGGGG